ATTACAGCGGAGCTTCTGAAAGCGGTTGGAAAACCGGTACTTGAAGTCCTTCAGAAGCTCTTTAATTCCGTCCTCCATGGTGGCACTACCGGAGGCGTGGAGCAGAAGTGCGGTGGTCTTGTTCTTCAAGAAAGGTGACAACGCTCTCTTGAAGAACTACAGACCGATTTCCATTCTGAGCCGCGTCTACGTGCTGTTTTCGAGAGTCATTACGAATCGTCTCGCGCGCAGACTTGACGACTTCCAGCCTCCCGAACAAGCCGATTTCTGAAAAGGCTTTAGCACCATAGACCACATACATACCCTTCGGCAAATTGTACAGAAGTCCAAGGAGTACGATTTGCCACTATGTCTGGCGTATGTGGACTATGAGAAAGCCTTTGATTCCGTCGAAATTTGGGCGGTGCTGCAGTCCCTTCAGCGATGCCAAGTTGACTGTCGGTATATCGAAGTGCTGAAGTGCTTGTACAGTAGAGCTACGATGGATATCCGAGTACAGAACCAGAGTACGAAACCTATCCAATTGCAGAGAGGTGTAAGACAGGGTGACGTTATATCCCCGAAACTCTTCACCGCTGCTTTAGAAGACGTTTTCAAGCTTCTGGACTGGAAAGGATACGGTATTAACATCAATGGTGAGTACATCACTCACCTTCGATTTGCCGACGATATAGTCCTTATGGCAAATCGCTGGAGGATCTAAGCACCATGCTCAATGACCTCAATAGTGTTTCCCAACGGATAAGTCTTAAGATGAACATGGACAAAACAAAGATCATGTTTAACGTCCATGTCACACCTATGCCGGTAGATGTTGGGAGCACTAAGCTCAAAGTTGTTGACGAGTATGTTTACCTGGGACAAAAAGTCCGACTAGGTAAGTCCAACTTCGACCGAGAGGTCAATCGACGGATTCAACTCGTTTGGGCAGTATTCGGGAAATTACGGCACATCTTCTCGTCAGGTATACCTCAAAACTTGAAAACAAGACTGTACAACCAGTGCGTGTTGCCAGTGATGACCTATGGTACTGAGACGTGGTCAGCTCAGCCAGCTATGGAGAGGGCTATGCTCGGAGTTTCTCTGCGTGATAAACTTAGAAATGAGGATATCCGCAGTAGAACCAGAGTGACCGACATAGCCCAACGGATTAGTAAGCTGAAGTGGCAATGGGCCGGCCATATAGCTCGAAGAACCGATAGCCGTTGGGGAAAAAAGGTTCTCGAGTGTCGGCCTCGTACCGGCGGACGAAGTGTAAGGCGTCCCCCAACTAGATGGAGTGACGACCTGGTAAGATATGCAGGAAGTCGATGGATGCAGGTGGCTCAGGACCGTGCTTTGTGGCATTCCTTGGGGGAGGCCTATGTTCAGCAGTGGACTTGTGAAGGGCTGTAATGATGATGATGATGATGAATACATCATTTGCACACAAGAAATGAAGAAACTATAGCTAGAGAACGCCGACGTAATGATATGAGGTTATTATGATATATGAAAACTTCGTCCCAACTCGATGAAGGCTTCGAGCGCTAGTTGAAGCAGACAAAGATTAATAACCACTGTAATAAATATTTTCGTGACTTCTAAAGCAGTTACCAAGAACAAAATATACATTTTACAAGTAAATAAACTTAAATTGTTAGCAAAGAAAGATACATCGACAAGAGGAAGTTTCTTTATACATAATAAGAGTGGAACGTACAACGTATGCATTGTAACATAAAGTCATCTTAATTTAAAATTAATACAATATAGTCCCAAAACGAATAAACATTTTTATACTTTTAAATAATTCTCTGTCTATCAAATTTAATTGGAATGTTTAGATTTTTAAGAGGTAGAAAACAAATCAGTACATTTAACTTTTTATTTTAAATATCACAATAAGTGTAGTTATTACAATATTTGTAAAACCTACTGAAACTGCATAACTAGTACATTGATGTAAAATATTTTTGATAAAAAATAAAAATGATAAAAAAATGTCACAACCAATCATTTAAGGCAAAGCTGATTTTAAGTTTATTACAATAAGTTGATTTTTTTTATTTTGCATTACTAGATAAATTTTAGATTTAGGAATAATTTATGTAAATATATTACACTTAATTTACTAGCTTTCAGAAATTTTATTAATGGTAACATTCTTACAAAATAAATAATTTCATTCCGATAACGCAGAACCTTATTATGGTAACTTCATATAGGAAATACCGTTTCTTAATGGTATGATTTGGATATAATATTACTATTAAAATTGAAACACGTGAATTTATATATTACATGTACTTCAATTTTATTATAATGGACCCGGATGAATCATATTAGCAATACCTAGGATAATTACTTAATTGTTTTCTTTTAATAAAATATAAATAAAATTAATAAATAAATAAAGCATTGTAATATATAATTAATAATAAAACAAATCAAATCAAATTCAAATTTTAAAATGGTTAATATAAAATATAATGCTGGCACTTCACATAACATTTTGATGTAACACATAAAGGGTATCCATCTTAAATGGATACCCTTTAAAAGTTTAAATATACCCAACATAAAATATTAAATCTTAAAAAAAATGTCAAAATAAATTAGATACATATGCAAGTATCGAACTTATGTGAAATTGTTTTTTGAATTTATTTTAATAGTAACGTGTATTATAAATGTCCATATTATAATTTTATAAAATTTCTCTAATTTCATCATTTTATATAATACGAGAATGCATACATATAACTTTTTAATGTAAATGAGGCATTTCATCTTAGTACTCAGGGGGGACTTAACATCTGCAATTAGATTCTTAGTCGAGGAAAAATTAGATGTCTATGGGCCACAGCATCCACTTACCATCAGGTGGACTGTGTGTTCGTTTGTCATCCTTATCCTATAAAATACATACATTTCTCAAGGACTACCTGAAAAAATGTTATGTAGTTTTAACTAGTCGTATTATATATTTTGTATATAAAACAGCATTATTTAACTACAACTGATACGCTTAAGAGGATATACGGGCGGTATCTTCCTGGATATTGACATCAGAGCAAGTATTTTCTACCGACTTCAAAAAGGAGGAGGTACTCAATTCGATTGTATGTTTTTTATGTGTGTTACCTCATAACTTCTTTCTCGGTGAACCGATTTCGATGATTCTTTTTAATTTGAAAGCTGGTGCTTCTTATGTGGTCCCATATAAAGTTGATCAAGGTCTGACTAATAGTTTTTGAGTTATTCTTAATAAATTATATTGAAGTCGGTTGTACAAAATCTGCCATGTTATCTTTTTTACGTCGTCGTACGAACCTATTACCTATTTTAACTTCTTGCAGCCCGGGTAACCTCTTAACTTGAAATATCCACTAACAACACCAGGCAGACGGGATGGTAATTGCAGTGTATATTTATAATTTAGTACGTAAAATAATGACGGCTCCGTAGCGCAGTGGCTTAACAATGAGTTCCAGCGTTGGGGGCTGCGGGTTCGAATCCCGCACGGAACAAGTATTTTTATGGCCTACAAATAATTTTTCCAGGTCTGGATGTTTGTCCTTGTGCAATTTATGTTTGTAAACTGCCTCCACGATACATGAGAAAGTCTTAGTGTGAGGGTAACGTTTAAAAAAAACCGTATAGAACCCTACAAGAGCCGTGGGAAGGGCTAAACTTTTAAATTTCATAGAACATATATTAGTAACCAATAAAATTGTTAATTGCATGTTTAAGTGCTGATTTATACGGGAAAGGAAACTCACGTCTTAGGAACAAAAAAACTTTCAGACATATGAAGTCCGCCAACACGTACTGGAGCAGCGTGGTGCTCAGTATCTATCTATATCTATATAAGAGTTCAGACATAATCTGTGGGACAATATATAACATATATAGGCGTAACTTTTACTCTACCTTACAAATAATTTATAAGACTGAAAAGATTTGATTAGTAAGTGCATTACCTACCTAAATAAAATATTTAAAATCTGTTACCTAAGGTGCAAGATTAACAATATGTATTTAAAATCGCTTGAAACTACCGACGATAGTTGTATCTATTACAGAATCATTTTTTTTTTCTAGTTATTATTAGTAAAGTGTACCTTGTAAATACAATTTAATTCGGAAAAACCTATAAGACTATTGACTAAATTGATATTTATGATTTAAGCCGTTTCCATAAAGGACGGAAGCAAAGTTATTCTCAGATCTGCTGCATTATTAAAATTAAAATGAACATTAGTGTAATTAGCTCTCTTTTTACTGTTAATTTCCAATTTGGTGATTAAGTTATTTTTTGTTAAAAAAATACTTGCACAATGCAATTTAGGGTCGAAAGAGATTGGTTTGGCGACGATAACATAATTTATTTTCAAAATATACGATATGTAAAATGTTTACTAATATGTACGAACTATACCACACTCACAAAATACTAGCGTAAAATAGCAGCTTCATACTGCTGTGTTTCGTATGGTGAGTGTAAAGAACCGGAGACCCTTTTTACTGGAAAAGAGGCATTCCATCTTAGTCCTCACGGGTTGTGTATTTTGATTCGCAAACGAGGATAGATGTAGATGTCTATGGGCCACAGCAACCGCTTACCATCAGGTGGACTATGTGCTCGTTTGTTACCCTATCCTATAAAAAAAATATCAGTAGACGGACTCGATGGACCACAAAAAGTTGTGGTATGTTAAAATCCAATATTAAATATTGAACCCAATACGACTTTCGAATGGAAAGTTCAAAATATAAAAGTCAACATAAACAAAAAATATCAATAGATAACTTTCATCCTCAGCATTTTCATCCCATCTTTCGATATCACGTCAAATTTGAAAGTAGAAAAAACATTATTGTTCTCGGATCTGTTTACAGGAATAGTTAGTTTTATAACTATCGTTTTACTCTTGTTTTTAGATCATTTCATAACTAAAAACGTTTGTACACCGTGTAAAATACTTATTGAAAAATGTTTGCCAGAGGATTATGTCTCATACGTTGCTGAACCGAGAGCAGCAAGTCGCTCGAATGCTAGAAACTGTGCTTGCACCGTGTAACGTAACTGTGTCAGGATGATGTAGCATTCTAAGCTCCTTCTCCGCTTTCTGTTCTAAGTCTGCCCATCTGTAAAAAAATTAATTGGAATAGTTTGAGTTATGTGAGTTTAAGTATATATACGAGATCACACATACAGCGGCTTCAAATTAGATATACGAGGAAGCGCTGAGGTGGTACTATGGCATGTGCATCTCTGAAACGCAACCATCTTTTTAATGAAATACACAGTTTTAGAGTGCTTGGTGGCGGAAAAAGATAATCCACCATCCTATTTCGTCCCGTGGGTGCCGAAGGAGACGACTATAGGAAATACCACAAATATCTTACGGATTTCGATAGATGGCGGGATAGAGGCGGAGTCGAGATAGAGGGAGAAAGAGAGAGAGAGAGCGAAAGAGAAAACGCATTAAGCCCGATTTTTTGCATTGAATACACGGTAAGACAAGATCTAGCAGAGCAGGAGAAACAAAATAAAATACATAATAATAACACAAAATATATAATATAAATAAATGTGATTTTTCAATTTTTGTCAAATGATAATGATGATGACTGAGCGCGTTCTTAGTTCCCCATCTCTTTCTTTCCTGTTTAAAACTATACTAACACCACAGGTTTAAGATCTCCGCATACGTGAACCATAAACCAAAAATGTTTTCTACTATATTATTTATATAAGTAAAGGTGATAAACGAACACAAGGTCCACGTGATGGAGAGAGAGTGATGTGGCCTGCCCGAGACACCTGCATTTATCCTCAATGTGGAAGCTTTATCACCTTTAAAATGTGATGTCTCAATACCAGTAAAGAGTATCTGGAATTTCTCAATATCAGTATGAAGAGGTACAGTCACTGACATTCAAAATACATTATACTGCCATTTTACGCTTGCAGTAGAACTAGAGTGACCGACATAGCCCAACAGATTAGTAAGCTGAAGCAATCAGGGCATCCACGACTTTTTCTGCCACTAGGGCGGCGCCACTTAAAAGTGAGGTATAATATTTGACAGAATTCATAGTGGGGAAGTTATTTTGTTCGAAAAATGTAATGGTTGCTGTTTCTTTCTGTACTATTAGCTATATTTTACATTAATACGATTAAAAATAAATAAAGTAAACCACAGATATTCATAAAAGTAGAAACATTTAAAAAAGTTAAAAATGTGCACAAAAATTAAAGAGCAAACCACTGATGCATTGGTTTGTGTACTAATACTCCTGAAACTGGTAATCTTTTATTAAAAACCAACTTCTCAATTAAATGACATTGTGTAACAAAAATACTTTACCTCACTGTCAACTAGCGACATCTGGTGAGCAGAAAATTATTAGGCCTCATTGAAACATTTCCAAATGGGCAAGCCGTATAGCTCGAAGAACCGACAAACGATGGGGAAGAAAGGTTCTCGAGTGGCAGCCTAATACCGGTAGGCGAAGTGTATGGTGCCCTCCGCTAGATGGAGTGATGACATGGTAACACATGCGAGGCCTATGTTTAGCAGTGGACTTGTGAAGGGAATGATGACGATTGACCCGACCGATGAGCTGCAGAAGTAAATTTTACCTTTGAACGGCCATCGAGAATGCTTCAACGACGTTGCTGTCGGTCTTCGCAGATGTTTCTATGTATGTGGCTATTTTATTTTCATCACACCACTGTTTCAGCTGCTCATACGGCACTTCTCTGTCCTTCGATGAAACATCGGACTGAAATTATATAAGTGAGATGTAAAAGAATATGTAAGTCCTGTTATCAATATTTTTAATAAGCCTGAGACCAAAAGAGTAAGGTAGATAAAACACTGCAAATATTTCAAGTAATAATGCTCAACTTCTTGGCACGCACTTATGCACACCATCTTTCTACTTTACCCCGTAAAAGCCCTCTGCATTATTCTAATTTTTTTAGGCCGCAGTTTTTGACAGTTAGTATACGCCATATTTGTTTTATGCTGACATCATAATAATCTTTAGATATAAAAATTACGTGTCACGTTGTTTGTTCGCGATGAACTCCTAAACTACTGAACTGATTTCAATGAAATTTTGCAAACTCTGTGCATTTTCGTCCAACTTGAGAGATAGGATAGTTTTTATCCCGATAAATAACCCGCGAAATTTTTTTATTCCGAATTTAAGGATTTTTATAGGAATAGTCGTTGAAAAGGGCAGAACAACGTCTGCCTGGCGAGCTAGTAATAGTATAATATCTTACCAGCGCAATTGCGATAAATTGTTTGAGACATCACTTGTCAATGTGATTAGTTTAGCAGTAACGACGGCCAATACACGCATACTAGCCAAAAAATATTGCCTACCTGATGGGTTCTATCGCAGATAAGAAACCGTGAGACGCCAGTATGATGGACCTACATTTAATTTAAAAAAAAACCATGTAGAGAGCCACATTTTTTTTTATTAGAAAGAGTCTGAATTAAAGAAGGTAAAGAGAACGTTCATAGTTTATAAAAGGGTAGGGTAATATAGTATAAGTAATTCATATTATCGTTAAGAGTAAGTTGCTGGCCTCTACATTGTAAAGTTTGGAAGCATTCAACATATTATAATCATCTAACCTTATATATCGTTTAAAAGTTAAAAAACCAACCTTGTTTCCAACTACTATGAACGGAAATTTCTCTATGCCATTCTTAACTCCTGCGTAATGAAGAAATTCGTTAAGCCACATTTTTATATTGTTGAATGAACTTCTGTCGTCAATTGCATACGCTAATATGCAGATGTCAGTCCCTCTGTAGAATGGTGTTCGAAGTGATTTGAATCGTTCTTGTCCCGCTGTGTCCCATATCTGTAAACAATAGGTCAACATATTAGCTAAGACTAATTCAAAAGCAAAGATTAATTCAAATTCTTTCTAATCGACGACGTTAGACGTTGAACGGTGACGGAGTTTCAAAATCCATTTACGGGATATGTTCCTACGATTTCGTAGGAATCAAGCACGAATTTCTAGATCCGAGTATTAAGGCTATTTTTGCACCTAGGGTCCGCCTGGGTAAGTGCACCTAATTATTGATTTTGTTTTATCAAGGACTCTTAAATGAACTGGAATCCTACTACCCTCACAGTGTATCGTTCAAACCGTGCGATACATCTTTTGGTTTATGCGCGGTACTGTCATTAGTTTGACATTCAAGTAGAATTACATCAGCGCTAGAATAAAAAGAAGTGGAATTTCTCCTTTCGGAGTAATTATGATACTGTTGATATAATTTGAACACACACACACACACACAGATAAAAATGATCTCTTGTATTTACTCTGAATTCTAACGCAAGATATAATGATGCACATTATTTTTTCTGCCGACTTCCAAAAAGGAGACGGTACTCAATACGACTAACACACATATAAAAACATACGTTTTTTTATGTGTGTTACCTTATAACTTTTTACTGGGTGAACCGATTTCAATGATTCTTTTTTTGTTTGAAAGCTGGTACTTCTCGTGTGGTCCCGTATAAACTTGATCAAGGTCAGACCAATAGTTTTTGAGTTATTCTTAATAACTTATACTGAAGTCGGATGTACAAAATTTTTAATTTTAAATTATTTTAATTACAAGACAGTGATAACAGTTTGTTAAGTATTCCATTTTATATCACGCTTTAGATGTTATCATGTCTGAGATCATTCACAACTGTGTTACAGTTTGAAGATTATGTAGAGTAAATGTAATTACATGCTGTTAGGCATTCCATCTCCTCAGAGATTTCAACCCATCTGCACAATTTAGTTTGAAATTGGTATTAGGAATCCATAAGCTACAGTATATCCCTTTACGATAAGGTGGGCTATTAAGTCATTTATTACTTTCATGTTATAATAATTTAAAATGAAAAATTTTGTACGACTTCAATATAAATTATTAAGAGTAACTCAAAAACTATCGGTCAGACCTTGATCAAATTTATATGGGACCACATGAGAAGCACCAGTTTTCAAATAAAACAAGAATCATGGAAAGCGGTTCATCCAGAAAAAAGTTATGAGGTAACACACATAAAAAAAGAACATACAGTCGAATTGAGTACCATCTCCTTTTTGAAATCGGTAGATAAAGTATTCAATTTTCTTAACAGTGCTTGCTGCAGTTATTAGCTCTGCAGTGTTTGCATCAGGCGGATTGCGAACTAGGTAGGTCGTTTGTCACTCGATTAACAAGAAAAATCATGTGACCTTGGTAAATGGTGAAACTAGTCTTTAAAATATAAGTACTGGAACATATAATAGGTAAGTTGTTTCAATTAGAAAAACAGGTGTACAATGACGATCTTTGTTTCTATGACCATTTGAACATTGATGTAATCACATGAAAGTATGCTTGAGTAGTTAATTACAGAAGGGCCGTTTTTATCTCGTGCGTCATATTAAATTGGTGACGGTCGTCATCGTTAATAAACACATTACGTTCATTGAACTAAATGTTAAGTCAAAAAAATTTATAAAGAGTAATAGCCAACTGCAAATATAAAAAGCTAATCTCAATTAAATAAATAAACTTCAACTAAAAATCCTTAAGATCATAGTACCTCCAAACATCAAAGAAAGATATCAATGTGATAATATTATATTCTTCAAACATTTTAAAATTTACCTATTATTACACAATCTACAACAGCCTGTATAAGCGTGAGCAATCGCACAAAATCAGGTACAATAAAAAAATAAAAAATGGTACTACTCATGCTTACACTTTTCCAAGGCCCACGCTTTTACAGAATACCAGCGTAAAATAGCACTTTAACACTGCTGTGTTTCGTATGGTGAGTGTACAGAAATGGAGACCCTTTTTACTGGAAAAGAGGCATTCCATCTTAGTCCTCACGGGTGACAACGTATCTGCATTTTGATTCGCAAACGAGGATAAATGTAGATGTCTATGGGCCACAGCAACCACTTACCACCAGGTGGACTGCGTGCTCGTTTGTCACCCTATCCTATAAAAAAACCAAAGAGCCAGTGAGCGGCAGACTTACGGTATTTCAATAAGCTTCACTTTTTTTCAGTTAATCCCCTATACCTGAGGTACATGAAACGGGGGCTCTTTAGTTTGACCGGCGGTCGATATAGAGACAATAACAGGTCTGCAAATGAACAATTATCAAGTTTTACAAACGAATTTATCGATCGGAGTATAACGCCATAAGGTGCGTTGGGGTAATACCGGACGGATTTACGACTAGTTGAAAGTCTGGCAAAAACTTAATTTTCTCGACATCCGTATACGTCAGATTTCTGGAACATGGTGCAAACTGTTAACGATTAAACGCAGTTTAGCTCTGATACGAGGGCGGCACTGAAAATTTCGGGAATCAAGGAAGTGACACAACATTACTATTTAAAAATGTATTTATTGCTTTTCGAAGTATTCTCCGCGAAATTTGACACATTTTTCCATACGATGGAACCAATCATTGAAGCAACCATTCCATTCGGAAGTTGGGGTCTCCAAAATGGCCGTTTTGTAGGCGTCCACAGCTTCTTCAGGTGATGAAAATCTCTGTCCACGCAATTTATTCTTTATTTTAGGGAAAGTATAGAAATCATTAGGGCTTAGGTCGGGGCTGTACGGCGAATGGTCTAATAATTCTATTTTCTTGCTCTAAAAACTCTTTTGTTCTGTGTGCGGTGTGAGAACTCGCATTGTCGTGATGGAGGATGATGCGGCGGTTGCAGTTCTCTTTACGGAGTTCAGAAACGACCTGTGGCAAACAAATGCTAGCATACCATTCCGCATTAACCGTTCTTTGTCCCTCAAGAGGAATAGTCGTAACATGGCCGGTTTTGGAGACAAACGTGGCCACCATTTTTTTTTTGCAACACTCCGTGAACGAACAATTTTTGTTGGCTTTAACTCATTTTCGAACACCCAAACTCGTGACTGGCTTTTTGTTTGGGGTTCGTACGCGTATATCCAGGATTCGTCACCTGATACGATGTTGTATACAGCATTTGAGGATCCTGCGTGGAATCTTTCGAGAGTTCTGACGCACCAAGTAACGCGAGCCGCTTTTTGCTCTTCACAGAGCGAATGCGGTATCCATCGGGAAATCAACTTTTTTACACTTGTTCATGCAAGATTATTTGTATTTGACTCATGCCAATGTCTAAAGTTGCCTGAATTACGCGGTATGTCACATGTCGATCTTCCTCAATCAGCTTACGCACAGCATCAACGTTTTCTTGGGTGACTGCAGTTTTTGGACAACCTTGACGGGGATCATCACTGAGCTTGACACGTCCACGTTGAAATTCAGCAAACCAGCGATAAATTGTGGTTTTGGATGGGGCTTCAGCACCAAATTTTAAACAGTGGTAGAGCCACGCGGCAACTTTTGCTGTCGCACGGATGGGCCGGCTCGAACCGGGGTGGTACCACGACCTCACAGAATACCAGCGTGAAGTAGAGGTTTACCTTTGTGTTTCGCTTGGTGAGTGCAGGTGGCCGGAGGCCCTTTTTACTGGAAATGAGGCATTCCATCTTAGTCCTCAGTAGATGTCTATGGGCCGCAGCAACCACTTACCATCAGGTGGACTGTGTGCTCGTTTGTCACCCTTATCCTATAAAAAAAAAATGCAGAAATCATCCGATCAACACACTGTTTTTGTGTTAAACCACTTCGAAAGTCATAATAAATCATCGCTCTTGAATTTTCTCGAGTCAATTCCATTTTCTCAACGACTAAACAAGTTTGACAAAACCTTGTGACAAGACCGAGAATCTTTTTTTAAATAAATAAATGGTATTCGATTTTAAAAACCGAGGACTTTTTAATTAAAAAGATTTTAATATGACAGGAACAGTGGAAATATTCCATTCCCGATACTTTTAGTGCAGCCTATGTAATCTTTTGTTTTTGTAAATGCTACGATTTCTGTTTTTAACGTGTGCGGGGACAAGACATACTTTTTTATATGCATGATGAAGAATTTGCAATCAAGGGGTAAGACCGGACTTAAATTTAAAGCCACTTCTACTGCTTTGAGAACAAAGTTCATAAAAGGGATTTGTCCTATGTTTATTGCTTAAAAACATATTTAAATAATAGGTATAAATTACGAGATACATAAATGTTACAAATGATTGTTTTTTTTTTGTAGTTCGTGGCCTCCTATCTTATCCTTCATATAAAAAAGTAATAATTTTGTGGATCTCAAACTTTAAGGGAAGGAAAGGAAAGATTTGATTTGATTTTTTTTTACTAGGAAAGAATTTTTTTTGGGAAAGAAGTATGCCAGCGTTGAAGTCCTAGTGTATTTTGAGGCATCTGTGGATAAAATGCAAATGTAAGTAATACGGCCGCGGCACTGTGCATCACCACAAAAACTAGTGAAAATATTTCAGCATCTCACAAAATAGGTACATTTATCAAATTACTAAGTCCCGTCAAAACTAAAACCGATTTTGACGTTCCGAAGATGAGTTCTAAACAAGTTTTGTAATTATCAATTGTTGAAATCCATTGAGTTAATGAATAGCTGTGCTAGTAACACTTGATTAAACGAAATATATAACAAAATATATTGTACCTTAAAAATTAAGCTCAATTAGGTAAATTAAAGCACAATAGTTTTGATAGTGATACTGAGTCCCATTCCCATAGTCATTTGAGCAATCTTCGAAAGAATATACACGACAAATGAAAGTTTGGCAACCACTGCCATATTTGTAAAGGGATCTTTACTCGCGCGGGGAAACATTGAATCTCAGCCTACAGCGATCTTAGCCGTGTTTGGATCAATTTAATCTGGCTACAACTTCATAAAACTTAGTATTCAGACAA